ACCTCGAAAGGTCATTTGTCTATGCCTCGTACCTGGAGCACCGGCCTCAGAAGGGGGCCGTAGTGGGGCGCGAGGCATAGCAACATGGCTCTGGATATCCAGCTCGCTGGGTCCAGTCGAGCCCTGGTATCTCTGAGCAATCCTTCTGCCACTGTTTGGGCTTCTGATCCATTGAGGGAGGTGCGGTCTACGTTCTGTTGTCTGGTTATGCCTGCCGCCTCGTGGTCTCTCTGTGTGGCGTCGAGCGCCCGTATCAAGGCGTCCAGCGTTCCTCCCCTGCTGAAGGCCTGCGCGGCAGCTCTGCCGCCGTCGCTGGTCTGTCCCCCCGACGGTTGCCTGGTGCTCTCATGCCGCGGGGTGGTGGTGCTTTGTGCCCTTCCTCAGTACAGTACAGTTGGGGCGACATCAGCACAAAAGCTCGGCAGCGCATTGGCCACGCGAAGACACCATTCACAATAACTCATTCACAAGACAACGCTCAGCGAGAGCACCGCTGCGCTGCAAGTTTAGCTCCGTCCTGCCATCGCATCGCGACGAAGCCGCGGAATGCACGGGTGCGCGTGCGGCTCTCGGAACCAGTACTATTGTACAGCCGCTGGGTCTGGAGCCACTCGGAGTCACGAAACTGCAGGAGAATGGCGGCCCATGAGTTACTATTCCGGGGCCTCTGCAAGTGCTCACTCCAATCGACCTCTGCAGTGCCCTTCCTCGTGCGGGGGAGGTGGGCTGCTGCCTGCCTGCTATGCCGCCCCCGCCCCCGTTGCTTCTGTCCTGGATTCGGGCGTTCCGCAGACGCGAGCCATTTTCAACCGCTTCTCTGTCTGCCGTTAGCACCGCTTCCTTGAGTTGCCCATGGGGATCAAACCATCTCATCATGCTTTCCTGCAGTGGAGGGTCAATATACCCCCCCCCCCCCCTAGTAGGGGGATGCGACCGCTCTTCCGATTTCTGTCGTTAGGCTGGCTGCGGCTAGCCCGAGCCTGCGGCGTGCACCCTCCGGAGCAGCGACTCTCGCTTGTTGCCATCTTTCGCCAGCCCGTCTGGCTAGGGAGCAGGGGGTCCCTGTGGCCTCAAACGCACGCTCAAGTCGACTCCACGTCATGTTGGGTGGAATGTTATCGTTCGCAACCTGAGTGCGGATGTCCTGGATCTCTCGCAGCACTCGTCGGGCGTTCCCTTCGCTCCTGTGGGGTGGAAACGCGGTCGGGCTTGGCAGTGGGATGCTCGTGGCGCGTGCATCGCTTCCCCTTCTTGTGTTACCCTATTGCCTATCTCCTCGGGTTACTGGGGCCCCGGCCCCTCTCGCCCTCGTCCGAAGTGCTATTGCCAATCGCAGAGCCTCCCCGCGCGGGGGTCCAGGAATCAGGCTGTAAGCTATTAATCTCCCGCTGTCTGTGGCAGCCGCCACCGCGGCTCGGCAGGCCACTTCTGTAGCCTCAATCGCCTCAGGGCTTGTGTCTGTGGCCCATGTCCCATCTGCCGGAGTGATGGCGAGGGCCTGATCGATGAAAGTACCTCCGATTTCTCTTCGGATCCATTCCACGTCTCCGTTCTGGAGTCCTTCGAAGCAGCGCTGGTACCTGGCCCCTGGGCACCGCGTGCCCTGAGCCGGGCCTCTCGCTGCAGGGGGTTGTGCCGGTATGTTGGCGGCGGGGGCGCTCGAGAGGCATCTCGAGACCCATTCGCGTAGCCGGTCGCCGAGGGGGTGCTCTCGCATGGCGTGCTGGGCGTGCGTCATCGCCTCTATAACCCATTCCATCGACGCACGGCAGAGCCTGGCCAAAGAGCCAACCGCTGCCCAGAAAGCCGGTTCGCCCCATGGTCCTGGTGCACCGGGCATTCGCCCTTCCAGCAAGCCCCGACCCCCGTGATTCTCCGTCTCGACCTCCGTCATATGGCACCATGCTGCGAGGAGCTCGGCTACCAGCCAAGACGGAGATAATTTTGTGGTCTCTGAAGGGTGACGCTCGCCGTCGATGTGACTGGCGATGGGGGCGCATCGAGCCCCCACCCTGGCCAGCTGGAAGGTGAGCCTCGTGCCCAGCAGATCCAGGGGGTGTTTGGGAGCTTCCAGTTCGGTGGTGGGAGAGCTGCTTGTGTCGGTGACCGATGCTGATCCTAATCTGCGACGCACGATGCAGCTGTTCATGTCCTGCCTCGCGCACCAACATCCACATTCTCCACGCCTACCTTTGGGGCGAAAGAAGTCCCCAATCGTGATCTTCTGGGAGGCGTTGTTTACGGGCCAGGGTCCTGTCGGGTTGTCGCCTTCAAAGTCTCTGGGGCCCCCCTATGCCAGGCGGCTGCGGCTCAGCGCTGGGAATGGCTGGGATGACCCACCCGTCGCGGCCTAGGCCGCGTTGCGGCGATGAGAGGACATCTGTGCCAGCCTCGACCCAGCGCCCTCTGCTGATGGCCCAACGTCGGACTTCGCTGCGGTCCGGAAAGTGCACCATGTTGCGACGGTGCTCGTGGACAAGGTGTTTGCAGGTCCTGGCCTTTCGCTCCAAGTTCGTGTCAGTAGGACCATTGTCCGCCGCATCGGGCGCAGGATCGCGCCGCCACCTGGACATGCCTAGGAGGGTTGGAGGGGAGATCTCGCCCGTCGGGTCGCACATCCCTATGTCCACGTAGAGGGCAGCGTGGTATAGCGTGTCGCATTCCATTTCCGCCGCTCGGTTTTCCTCCCGTGTAGGCTCGTGGACATCTTGGATGTCATCCCCGATGTCCGGGTCCTGTGCCAGACTGGCATAGCGGAAAGCAAGCACCTGGACAGGGTCTGGCCCGACTCCACCAAGCCTGGACTCATGATCGGAAACCGTGATGGACCAAACCAGCCAGGAAAGGTCCAGGTGAGACATCGCTGACGCGCAACTGCGGATGCTCCCTGTGCCTCCCCGTTCCGGTTGGTTCCTGTCGGGCCGGTTGTCTCCACCTGCCGCTGAGGGGCTTACATTGCCCGGGGGGTGTCGGAGCCAGCATCGGCTTATCAGCTCGACCAGTCCTTCACTCATTACTCGGCTGCGGGGGGAGACCCTGTGAGCCCTCCATGGTCCATCCCTAGGCTCGTGCTGCTCGAGCAGGGCTGAGAGGGGGCCACCCCCCATGGTCTTCCTAGGGTCCATCACTATGGGGGCCGCACAGGGTGAGTCGATATTGCGGGACACTTCCCCTCTTGGAGGCGGAGGGGGTCTGGACTGGGGGCCTTGTCCCCCTTGTCCGCGATTGCCTTCTCCTCTTGCTGGGCTGTGTGCCCCTGCCCTTCCCACTCGGGATGACCAGATACCTGGCGGGGGGGAGGTTGGGCTGTGCTGACCCCAGGCGTCCGAGTCAGAGGTGCTTTCATCAACGCCACCCCAGTCGTATGCCCCTCTACGGGAGTCTATCGTCTTGCTCGCCCTCGACTGGGTTCGATTCTCCTCCCGAGTCTGACCCTGCCCTACCAACGTGGCCGTGTTTTGTGTCGTGCTGCTCCTCCCCGTCCGCGCCGACTCCCATAGGGTTAAAGGGCACGGTGGGGGTTATTTCAAGGTCCACGGCTGCTTCGGCGCTGGGGAGCCAAGCTGGGAAGGCGGTGGGGGAGGCTTGTGTCCCTCCCCTCTGCGTAGCTACAATATAGGTGGCATTGCCCACAGCTGCCACCTCGGGGGGTTCGGACGTGTGCGCCTCGGCGTCACGGGGGGGTCTCTGAGCCGTGGCTGAGCCATCTTGCCTCTCGTGAGGAGGAGGAGGGGAGGTGCAGCCGATAGCCGCGGGATCTGGTATGTCGCTTACAACGGGAGGATGAGAAAGAGGGGAGGTGCGGCCGATAGCCACGCTCACTGGTGAAATTGGAGGGGGGGAAGAGAATGCGCAGCCGATAGCCGCTGGATCTGGTAATACGCACGTAGATGGAGGGTCACCGTCGGGGACCGTCGGATCTCTAGTGGCGGACCCCCCGGCATGGGGCTGTGGGGGGGCCGTCTCCGCTCCTGACGGCACTTCCCCAGCGTCGGACGCTTCGCCAGCCAATCCCTGGCCCTGCTGCCATTCTCCAGGTGACGCGGCAAGTGAATCCTGCACATCAGGAGGGTGAGAAGAGGGGGAGGTGCGGCCGATAGCCACGGTCACTGGTAAATCATAGGAAGAGAGGGGAGGAGCATTGATGCGTCGGTCCGCGCCATCTTGCGGAGAGTCAGGGTCTACCATTCTCGGGGGGGAAGCTTTGTCTTCATCACCCTGGCGAGCCTCCGGAGCTGACTCACAAGCATGCTCCTCATCTCTATTTCCAACCGCTGTAGACCGAGGTGTGCCCGCCGCTCGCGTCCATTGTGGGCCGTCCGCTCCAGTGCGGGGGGAGGCGGGAGGTGTGGGGGGGAATGGGATGCGCTCAGGATTCCTCTCAAGGACATGTCCCTCCACCTGCACCTGTGAGTCTTCTTTCCCCTCGCGCCTCGGGGGTGGCCTCGGATCCGTACTCGGTGCTGGCTCAGCCTCGCGCGTGGGCGGGGGCTGCTCACCCTGTGGGGGAGATGTCTCCATCGGTGCCAGTACACGGACTCCCACGCTGCGTACTGTTCGATCCCCATCTCCAAGTAGTCCCTGGTGCGGATCAGCCATCGCCTGCGTCGCCTGTTGGGGGGACAGCGGCCCTGGGTTGGAGGGTCAAGGCGTCCGGGCGCCCCTTTGAGCGGTGGGAGATTGCCCCGAGGGGAGCAGGCCCACCAGACGGCTTGAGCCAGTCGCTACGGTTGGTGGGGTTACGCGAAGCGTCTAGAATTTCGAAACGAGTCCAGCCGTGGCGACGAGGGCTCCCAGGACGCACCAAAAGGTGATAACGAAACAAGGGCAGCGCCATGGGTATCTTTTCCCCCTCTGAAAAAAATGGGGGGGCGCGAACCCCACCGCAGGACCCCGGTGCTGCCCAGCGCTCGGGCGGCATCTGCGGCCCTGAAGCGCCCAACCGTCGGCCTCGGCGGCGGGCCTGCTGGTCGGCCCAAGCCAGGCGCTGCAGGGTGCTTTCACTGCTGCTTGCGCTCGGACGGCAACGGCGGCTTGCCCCTTGGCCTCGGCGGGAACGGCTCCCGCCCCCCCCCGCCGCCCCCTTTCCGCCCTTGGCGGGCGCGGCGAGCCACAGGCACAAGCTCATCCAGCCCCTCGCGCACTTTGGCCTCCTACTCCTCCTCCTCCTTTTCCTCCTCCTCCTCCTCCTCCTCCTCCTCCTCATCAGCATCATCATCATCATGCCCGGCCGCCGCCTCCGGGCCGCCGCCCCCCCCTCTGGCGCCGCCACAAGCAGCAGAAGCAGCAGCAGCAGCAGCAGCAGTAGCAGCAGCAGCAGCAGAATGCATATGCGCCTCCCCTATATTATCAGATGTTCTGCCAACGTATGTGCAGCTAGAAGTAGAAATCAAATATGAAGTAGGTTCCCTGCTTCTAGAAAGCATGAGATCGCTTGCATTCGGTGCCATTCGCATGCTTCTGTTAGGTTGTCGAGTTGCACATATAGTACCATAAACAATCGTATGCTTGCCACTCACCTCGTTTTTCATTTTGCTATCTCTGACCCTCGGCTTGCTGTAGGGTCCAAGGCGCAGAATGAGGGTGTAAATGCCGCACACGGTCCCAACGCCGTGACCGCCAGGACCGCCGCGGAGAAGGAGCGTCGGGGGAAGGGGGTACGTGGGATTCAGCCTTTCGCGTGCTCTCCTTGTCTTCCTCTTTTTCCTGCTTCCTTCGCAGTGGTTTCCAGCTGCCAGACCAGCAGCACACCCCTTGGCTCCTCCTTTAAGGCAGGGGTGGTTAAATCAAAGACTATTCTCTCGAGGATGGCGCGGACCCACCCAGAGTGGGACCCTGCTAAACGGCGAGCCTCCCTTGTCATACCTTCCCTTCCACAAACCAGTTGGAGAGATAGAATACAGCCACTTCGGGCCAACGTGCTTATAGAACACCTCGTCAGATATCTTGGGTTGCCAATCCCTGGCGACCTTGAAGCAGCGAGCAAGAGGGTCACCACATATGCCTTAGATGGGCAGCACGTGGAATTCCAGAACGCGAGATATATAATAAACTGCGCAACGTCAGATGTGTTATGTCAGCCTGGCTTGTTAAAGGACGCACCAGCAGAGAGTGTTGGAACGTGTTCTTCTCGCTCGGCGCAATGCAAGCCTTCTACGTCGTGCACGCCCAACGAAATTCCAAGCCCTTCATTAAGGTTCTGTTACGAGCATGTAAGCCGGCACTACAGGCCACATTGCTCATGGACCAGTTCCAGCCAGCCTTTTGGAAACCATACTTGGCACAGCTACATCAGGCAATATGGGATCCGATGCACGAGAATGCACAGCGCTCCTGCCTATACCTGGCCATGTCTACAGAGACTGGCTGCTGGTACATTGGCAAGGCGCAAACACGCCGTCGCGTTGACAGGGCGCCCTGGATGGGAGTTGTGGCGCGATTCCGCGAGCACTACGAAGCCTCTCACAGGCACAACGGCGTTCAACTGCATCGGCCACGTTGTAAGGCATGGGGCAGTACTGCCCATTGGGCATTAAGCTGTATGCCAGTGGAGAAGAGGCTAGAGTATTACGACTTGAATCGCTTTGCATTGAATTGCGTCGCCCTCCAACTCAGACCCCTCCCTCACGACGTGATCAGGCCAGAATGCACGTGCCTTGACCATACCCGCGTTTTCTGGAGAAAAGGTCGCCGCTGCAAGAGTTTGCCCTCAACGTTCTCGTTGGCATAGGAACGAATGGTGCACTTAGAGCTAGGTTCTTTGGTAAGCACACCACATTCAATGAATTGGTACATGAATGTTGGGAACGGCTTAGGACTAGTCAAGATATGATCCTCCCTCTCTTATTTACACGCGTCAGCATGAAGATGGCTGGCACTAGACTTGGGCCAGCAGGGTACACGGTTGGACTATCGACGTATGTGGCGACATGCGGACCTCCCCAGGCATTGTCTTCTGGCATGGCCCCTTGCATGTAAGTTACCTCCAGAGCAGCAAAACACTGCTCAGCATAAAAATGAAAGGCTCATCCATACAGGGAACATCATATCAAAGCGTTGCTACATCATGCGTGTTTCACAGATCCACCCACATCTGTTGCAACATGCGCGTCATGCAATGTATACTTATATACGCAGAGTTTGCTCGGGAAGCTCTCTTCTCTTCCAGTATTTGCGAATGAAAATCAGAGTATGCAGCCCAGCGGTTCCGAGGTTTAACGACCCAATCACCACTCGCAGCACGCTCGCTTATAAGTTGTTGGTTGCTCTTCATCTGCAGATCTGCGAGGGCCCAGCCTTTGAAGGCTACCGAGAGCACCTTTGGAATGACACCTATTGGAACGTCCCTGAAATGCCTAGCGTTTCGGATACCTGGGAAGAGCTGCATAACCAGATTCGTTTACATCATTCGCCATTTCCATGCATTTCCCCATTTCCCCGACAGCGCGCACATCTGCTCGGCACTTCGTTTCGCCCTTCCTTCCCCTGCCTTTTAGCCCGAGGCCCCGCTTGCTGTCGTGCAGCATCACTTGTTCACACCCCTCCCCACCGTTGCGCGGGCAAGGGTGGACAAAGACATGCGCAGGGTGGCAAGGGTTAAGTGGCAGTCATACCTCTGGCTTCTCGGCAACACGTTTCTTCGCGACCCTGAGCACTATCGTTGTAGACCAGAGATCAGTAGGAAGCATCTGGCAAAAGGTCCAGAGAAAACGAGACGCCCAGATTGCACCGACAAACATGGCGCACCCCCCGACAGGCCTAGCCAGATAACATCCCGAGTGCATACATCACGTTTAAAGGCAAGTGTTTCTCTCCTTCCGATGGATCCTCACACGTTGGGAACAACATGCGCATGTCCAGGAGATTGTCAGTGGAGTCCGAGCTACCCTAAATTATCCTGGCGAAGGGCCCAACCATATGCAGTTGTGAATACCGCACTTGTAAATATCTTCTTCGGTGAAGTTCCCTATGGGGCCACTAAGCGCTGCACTGGGTGGGGGGGACGCATGCGGGCGGTAGCATTGGGGCCGTCGGTGGAGCCCCCTATGGGGCCACGAAGCGCTGCACTGGGTGGGGGACGCATGCGGGCGGTAGCACTGGGGCCTTCGGTGGAGCTCCCTTCCCTGTGGGGCCACGAAACACTGGGTGGGCGGGGGGGGACGCATGCGGGCGGTAGCACTGGGGCCGTCGGTGGAGCTCCCCACGGGGCCACGAAACGCTGTACTGGGTGGGGGGGGCGTATGCGGGCGGTAGCACTGGAACCAAGCTGCCTATGGGGCCACGAAACGATGCACCTGGGTGGGGGGGACGCATGTGGGCGGCAGCACTGGGGCCTTCGGTGGAGCTCCCTATGGGGCCACGAGACGCTGTACTGGGCGGGACGAACGCATGCGTGCGGTAGCACCGGGCACGTCGGTGGAGCTCCCTATGGGGCCACGAAGCGCCTCACTGGGTGGGGGGGGCGCATGTGGGCGATCGGTCTGGGGCCGTCAGTGGAGCTCCATATGGGGCCACGAAGCCGTGGGTGGGGACGCATGCGGGCGGAAAGCCTGGGACCGTCGTTGGAGCTGTACTGAGTAGGGGGGACGCATGCGGGCGGTAGCATTGGGGCCGTCGGTGGAGCTCCATATTGGGCCACGAAGCGCTGTATTGGGTGGGGGGGACGCATGCGGGCGGTAGCACTGGAACATTCGGTGGAGCTGCCTATGAAGCCACGAGACACTGTACTGGGTGGGGGGGACGCATGCGGGCGGTAGCACTGGGGCCTTCGGTGGAGCTCTCTATGGGGCCACGAAGCGCTGTACTGGGTGGGGGAGACGCATGCGCGCGGTATGCCTGGAACCGTCGGTGGGGTTCCTGTAAGGTCACGAAGCGGTGTGCTGGGTGGGCGAACGTGCCAAACTGGATGTTTCGGGGCGCATGCGGACGGTGGCGTTGGGGCCTTCGCTGGAGCTCCCTTATGGGGCCGCGAAGCGGTGTACTGGGTGGGTGAAAATGCCAGATTGGATGTTTCGGGCCGCGCGCGGGCGATGACACTGGGGAGCAACCTACGGGGCCACGAAACGCTGTACTGGGTGAATGAAAATGCCAAAATTGGATGTCACTGGGGCTTTCGGTGGACCTCCCTATGGGGCCACGAAGCGTTGTACTGGGTATGAGAAATGCCACATTAGATGTTTCGGGAAGCATGCGGACGGTGGCGCTGGGGCCTTCGGTGGAGCTCCGTATGGGGCCACGAAGCGCTGTACTGGGTAAGTGGACAAGCAAAATTGGAAGCTTCGGGACGCATGTGGACGGTGGCACTGGGGCCTTCGGTGGCGCTTCCTTTGGGGCCACGAGACGCTGTACTGGATTAGTCAAACTGCAAAATTTGATATTTCGGGACGCATGTGGGCGGTGGCACTGGGACTGGGGCTCTCTATGGGGCCACGAAGCGGTGTACTGGGTGGGCGAACGTGCCAAACTGGATGTTTCGGGGCGCATGCAGACGGTAGCACCGGGGCCGTCGGTGGAGCTCCCTATGGGGCCACGAAGCGCTGTACTGGGTGGGTGAACATGCAAAATTGTTTTTTCGGGGCGCATGCGGGCGGTGGCACTGGGGACTCCGGTGGAGCTCCCTAAGGGACCACGAAACGCTGTAATGGGCTGGTGAAAATGCCAGATGAAATGTTTTGGAACGCATGCGGGCGGTGGCACTGGGGCCTTGCGCCTTATGGGGCCACGAAGCGCCGTACTGGGTGGGTGAAAATGCAAAATTCGATGTTTCGGGACGCGCGCGGACGGTGACACTGGGGCCGTCGGTGGAGCAACCTACGGGGCCACGAAACGGTGTATTGGGTGGGTGAAACGCAAGGAGGAGGATGAGGAGGGGGAGGAGGGGGAGGGAGGAAGGAGGAGGATCACGAACGGCCTTCTCTACCTCGACGCTTTGCGACGAGGTAAAGAAGGCCGTTCACAACGCCGTTTCACAAGTTCTGCGAACTGGAATGCGCACCGCGTCGTTGGGAGCCAGGCTCCAGACCCGCGCAGGCCAGGAGGCAGCTCCG